GGCCAAGTACAGGGATATCCTGGACGAAAACCTTCTCCAGAGTGCTCAGGACCTCAGACTGGGCCGAAGGTTCACCTTCCAACAAGACAATGACCCTAAGCACACAGCTAAAATAACGAAGGAGTGGCTTAACAGCAACTCGTGTTCTTGAATGGCCCAGCCAGAGCCCTGACTTAAACCCAATTGAGCATCTCTGGAGAGACCTGAAAATGGCTGTCCACCAACGTTTACCATCCAACCTGACAGAACTGGAGAGGATCTGCAAGGAGGAATGGCAGAGGATCCCCAAATGCAGGTGTGAAAAACTTGTTGCATCATTCCCAAAAAGACTCATGGCTGTATTAGTTCAAAAGGGTGCTTCTACTAAATACTGAGCAAAGGGTCTGAATACTTATGACCATGTGATATTTCAGTTTTTCTCTTTTAATAAATCTGCAAAAATTCTGTGTTTTTCTGTCAATATGGGGTGCTGTGTGTACATTGAGGAAAAAAAAGGAACTTAAATGATTTTAGCATATGGCTGCAATAAAAAAAAAAAAAAAAAAAAAAAAAAAAAGAGTGGAAAATTTAAGGGGGTCTGAATACTTTCCGTACCCACTGTATAATGTGACTGACCTGCCTCTGGGGGGAGCCTCTCTAAGTGCTGTTGTAGACTGCTCCCGTTTCTTGCAAGAAAAAGCACATCTCTATTCTCTCTATTTCACACTCACTAAAGGTTGTTCATTTTAGTACAGGTAAACAGGAATTTTTCCCATCACAGGTTTATAATTTTGAGCTCTGATCTTGCAAAAAGCTAGGTTATGTTTGACAAGAGGCAGTAGGCTCCCTGATTTATCTACATCCTATAGGTTGTCTATATAATGAATAAACTTAAATCATTTGAGTCCCCCCATAGTATTTTGGGAAATGTTACAATGTTAAAAGTTCAATCGTGAACCAAATCACACTTTTACAAGAAACAGTATATTATGTAAAAAAGAAAACCCAGTATAATGTTGCCATAACAAGTTACTGTGGGCTGCAGCTTGGGCGCCATTTTAACCCAACATTTGTTTACATTTTGGAACACCAAGTATGCTGAACTAACCATTAGTTTGCTTTGTGCTATTCTATGTACTGACAGAAATATGCCAATACTGAAGAAATCTAAAAAAAAAAAAAAAAAAAAAGTTTCTCAAGCTTTCCAACTCGGTACTTATAGTGAGTTACAGTGCAGGCATCAACGTTGAGGCCGCCTTTAAGCCTACATTTGTAATAAAATTATGTTTTGCAGTTAGCTATTAACAGTTCCTTTGACTATAGTGACAACTCTCACTGTATTACTTGAATTTGTTCAAACCTGATTTTCAGGAAAGTTCTGCAACGTTCCAAACTTTGCATTATCTCATAATTATGAGAAAAAGGTCTGGAATCTGTTATAAGATCCACCAATTTTTTTTGTTTTTTTTTTTTCTCTTTGTAGTGCGCTTCCATAGCTTCTGCTGAATTAAACACTATAACCTATGGTGCAGATAGCCAAAACCTTTTAGTACTTTACACGCATCCTGCAGTCTTCTCTGGTAAGTATGAAATTATGTTTCCTAGGAGACACACAGTCTGAGCTTTTACCTGCTGAAGAATAGTTTCATGAAAAATGGATTTTTTTTTCCCCATAAGTTGTCTAAAGATACTGTGCGAACCTTTAGGAACGTGAAAAGTGTAAACGACATGAACATTTCTTCCAGGTTTTGTCCTACAAAGTGCTCTATAGTAGTTTGTCAAGTCTGTATTTTTTTCCCTGAATAAACCAGTTTATAAATCTAATGTGTCCGTTTCTCACTACATCGTTCTTAGGTATTTAAAAATACAACTCATTCCTTGATTATAAATATATTATGGCATTTTAAAGCTGGCACATTTAGAAATACCAAATATAAAGGGCAAGTCCTATTTTTCCTTTCTACATGAAATCCTATTTACTATCATCTGAGACTATTTTCATCATGACTCCAGTGATAAGTTCTATAACCAATTTTTAATGCCTAGTTTTCACTCACGCTGTAGTTTACCACTAGTCTTTTTAACCAATTGATCAGTTTTTATCATTAAAAGCCAATTCCCCCCCCCCCCCTTTTCTTTATCAAAAACCCCAGGTGTTGTTTTTC